TGCTCTTTCCCTTCTGACAAGAAGGCTTGTTTGGCCTGGAGAAGAGAAGGCTCCTTAAGGGGGAGGCCTGAGAGCAGCTCCAGTGCCTAAAGGGGCTGCAGGAAACCTGGAGAGGGGCTTGGGACAAGGGCCTGTAGGGACAGGCCAAGGGGAATGGCTTGAACCTGCCCAAGGGGAGACTGAGCTTAGCTCTTAGGCAGAAGCTCTTCCCTGTGAGGGTGCTGAGGCGCTGGCACAGGGTGCCCAGAGAAGCTGTGGCTGCCCCATCCCTGGCAGTGCTCAAGGCCAGGTTGGACACAGGGGCTTGGAGCAAGCTGCTCCAGTGGAAGGGGTCCCTGCCTGTGGCAGGGGTTGGAGCTGGAGGAGCTTTAAGCTCCCTTCAACCCAGACCTGGCTGTGATTTGAAGAAGGGGATATTTCTATTTAGCTGACATCAAAGGGTTAGCAGTGGGTTGGGTCAAGTCAGCAAAGTTGTCACTGGTGGATGTGGGAGGATGGTCCGCTGTTGCTGTGAGATTCACGAGCGATCAGATGGAGCTCACAGGAGGTGGGTTTAGAAGCAGGAGGAGGGTGTTCTTCAGGCAGCAAATAGTAGACGTGTTGAACTAGCCAAGGGCTATTGTGCTACAAAACTTTTGGGTGAGTTCATAGAGGAACTAGGCATGCTCATGCAGAGGCTGCACTGATTGTTCCTGAACACCCAGAAGCCCAAACTTACGTGGGGAGGCCCAGAAATGAAAACCTGCATGGAAACATACATTGAGAAGTTACAAATGCTTGGTCTCTTCTTTCCTCTTTTAAGTGTTGCAGGTTTTCTTTTGCTAGCTCTGGCTAAAGGTCTGTGTGAAACAGGAACAAAATACTGAGCTGTGAAGCAGAATTGATGAACCTAGTGTTTATGATGAGATTGTTTGATGCCCTCTAAGAGGGAATGAAAGCATTTTTCTGGACAAGGCTTTTGAAGGTTTATGTATTTGACTTGGAACAGAAGTAGATGTAAAGTGTTATGCTGGAGTTGTCTGGCAGCATTGAGGTTTCCTGAACAGGCTTTCTGGCACAGCAGAAATGGTCTACAAAGACCTGTTTTTTTCCATATGGGCATTGAAAGCTTAGGTTGAAAATGTGCTCACCTGAGCATACTCTGATCCAGGACTGATGAGGTGCTCTTCAAACAAGGCACTTGCTTCTGGAGAACTTCACATTCTGTCCCCTGATGTGCAGCGGTCTTGTTGGAGCTGGGTGTGAGTGCTGGATCATCATGTTTGCTCTTGAGGTTTTTTTGTTCCATCATCTAATGCCATTGGGAGGTGTCTTACCTTTTTGGCCATGCTGGACAGTGTAAATACTTTGGAGTAGTGCAGTGTTTATTAGGTTGGCATTTTAATCTTGTTCCCGTGCTTTAATTTAGTAAATGTGTGTAAAAGCATTACCCGAAGTTTTGTGTTTCTAACTGGTGATAAAATAACAATGAGCTGAGGTACAAAAGATCCCCAAACTGTCCATGTACCAGCTTCCTGAAAGAACAAATAAGGAAGGGGGTTGTAGAGTCATGCGCCCTGCTGCAGCAGAGACAATGTTCTCCAGGAGTCGAAAAGTGACTGTGGTGTACCCCAGACTTTTCAAGCGCTGCACTTGAAATCACCTCTCTTGGCTCAGACTAGCACGGATTTCCCCTGCCCTTGGAGGAGATGAAAGACCTGGTTGTGTACTCTTAAGATAGCAAATACCATCTCTTCTGAAGCTGCCTTCAGGGATGTTAGTTTTTACTCCAAAACTGAAACAAGCTTCTCGTCTGTACTTCGCTTTGAAAACTAATGGGGGGAAACATCCAGCAATGCTTAAAGTTTCTGGTGTAGCCTGGTTCTCTCTTGCTGGCAGCTGGAAGAGGGTTTGGGGGTCTGTTGGACATTCCAGCCAATGTGATGGTGTTTCTCTGAATAGCATGGCCTTTGAGGGTAAACAGAAACACTGCTTGTGGACTCCTGAGAAGGCTGGGCTTTGCTGTGGTTACGTCAAGCGTTGCAGAGGAGTATGTCTTGAATACAGGAGCATGGGACCCATGCCCAGCTCCACTCCCCCAGTGCCCCTTACCCTTCTGGTTTTGGCATTCTGTAAAGCAAATGACTTTTCTTCCTGAAGCGAGATGCCCAGCAGGAAGCAGAGCATCCCCTTCCAAGGGTTCTGTGTGGCTGTTCGAAGCCAAGATCTATTGAGTTCAAGCTGAGATGTGTGTCTCTGAGCCTAAGGCCATCGAGGAGGTGTCACAGGAAGCTGCTTAGCCTGGAGGTGCTAATTAAACACGAAAAAGTTTAATTATCTGTCAAAAGTGGGAAGGGTCCCTCTTGCTGTTTGTGGTTTCAGATTGCCTCTTTCACTGTCATTCTGCTTTCTGCAGCCACTCTTTCAGCTGCCTTCCCTTCACCAAGGGGTATGATCCCTGCATAACGTTAGGCTTTGGGCAGCGAGGCTCTCTGGCAAAGGAAAGACTGGAGCTTGTTACCATGATAAACTTGTGCTCCAACCAGGTTTTCCACATATTCTTCACCTTAACCATTGCTTTTTGTTGCTGCAAGAGGTGGCTTTGTTTCATACCATTCTTGGTTCCTGGCTTCTCCGGTAGGTTTAATGTGTGCTGCAGTCAGGAGCTGAAGCCTGTTGTTACTTTGGGCTCCTCTGTGCTTTGCTTGAACCCTCTTGGTACCAAGCAGGATTTCTGGTGAGCCCATTGCCATGGGTGTGTGGCGGGGGAAGGATGGGAGCTGAGCTCTGAGTTCTGAACCTTGGGTGCTCTGAAGATGCTGGAGTCCTGTCTCTGTGAACATGGAAGGAGTCGTGTTTGCTGTGCTGCAGCCACAAGATGTGTTAGTAAGTGTCTTGCATGAGGTGGTGATGTTTTTGTTGCAGGTGCTGCTGGTAGGAAGTGGCAGAGGCTGACCAGTGGGGGGGGGTTCTCATGTTCCACTTTGCCTCCTCCATACCATGCCTGTCCTCTTGTTCTTCAAGCAGAGCCTGAGTGATATTTAACCCCTGGTTCGAGCCTGAACCTCAGGCCAGCATGAGATGATTTACCTTCTTTTATTCCTAGAATAAATCATTGTACTGTGGAGCAGGTTATAAATCGTCTTCGGTTTAGCTTCCTTGTTTGGAGATGCCACTTTTTATTAGAGATCGGTATTTATGTAAAGAAACTGAGGCAGTTTCGGGCCAATGAACCCGGTTTGGAATTTTTATGCACAACTTCTAGGTTTTCTTTCTAAGTTTAACTGGGACTTGTTTGAAGTAGCAAAAGGGCAAACTTCCCGGGCCTGAAGAGTGTTCAGTATTTCAGTCTGTGGACTGTCTTGTTAGTGGGATGCTCCTGCTCTGTGCTCAAGAGTGCTTTTATGGTTGCAATGTCAAGTAACTAAGCAAAGCAGCAATTCCTCTTTCCCTGTGAATATAGGCACTTGTCTTTTCCCTCTCTTGTAGGGCTTCATTTAGGACAAGTTTGGCTGGTTCTTCCTTGCTGCAGCCTGTGACCCGGCCACATAACTTGGGAGAACTTCAACGTCAGATAGAACAACAGCTCACCTTAAATGCTTTGCAGTAAGCTTAATATTGGGGATATATTCAACTACCCAATGCCTTTTCATGGGTGTCACTCACCACTTGTACACTGGTGGTGTGCTCCTCACGCCAGTGGTTGGCTTCATTCAGGAGCTGGTGCTGGGTAATTGTAGAAGAGGATTAATTAATGACAGCTCTCGTGAGTTCATGGAGATGTTTGAAGTCTCCTATGGTGCTATTGAGCAATCCTCCTGTCTCCTTGAGGACAGAACTCATAAATGACTTTGAGAGAACATGTATGTGACCTGGACTGGACTAATAACAAGCTTATGAAAGTACAGGGCAGAGGCAGAGCAAATTCCTGTGTGCTGCAGTCAAAGTGGCGTCTGTTAGCGCGGTGATGGTGAGTTTGGTCTGCCCTGCACTTGATGCTGGATAAGGCAGACATCTCTCCAGTGCATGGTTTCCTTCTGTGGCCAGGATAAAGAAGGCCCATTTGTCTCCTGTGTGCTTGCAGAACGAGCAGTTTGAGAGGTTAGTGTGGACCTACCCTTGCTGTAACAGTCAGGGAAATAAGGACAGAAGTGGCCCAGGCTTGGAATGCGCCTTCAGCACCGGGTGAGCCTGGTTGCAAGGCCTGTGTCAGAGCGTCATCTGTAAGGGAGTCTTAATGTTGTATTTCAGCGTGTGGCAAGAACCTGTCTTCTAGATGATGGTCAGTTAAGTTCTCAGAACTTAAAGTTGCTTCTTAAAATTGTAACTTTTGTTATAACATCCCACATGTTTCCTACCAAAGGAAGTTAAATGCCCATGTTTGGAATGTAGAACAGAACAGTGTATGTCTGGTCACCCTGGGCAGAGATTTCAAGAAAGTTTCATTTTGGTTTGACCTTCACATCTCTGTTACATCACATTCCCCCTCGGAAATGGGTGCTTGGGCCCTGTTCTGCCCTATGAGGTGTGTGCTCTGGAGGGTGTTATCTTGGGGGGGGTAAAGGACACAAACAAAAAACGTCTTGTGCTTCCTTCTGACCAAAGTGCCTGGAAGCATTGCAGGAAACGGAGCCAGCCCAGAGATGCTGCGTCATGGGAGTTGGGGTTTGGGAACCTGTTTCCCAAGGTGAGGAAGCACAGTTTACCAACAGCCAAAATCACTGAAGAGTCAGAAACATCTGTATTTTAAGAAAACACCATCTTCTGAACTAAGTCACCTTATGGCACAGAAAGCTTTTAGTTTGCCCTGATCTGGGGTAAGGAGAAATACTAGATCTTCCTATAAGAAGTGGTGTTTGGTTCCTGTTCATCCACAATATACTTGGAAGCTGGCATATCAAACTGAAAACTGCAAACAGTGCTTTTTCCTTCTTTTTTTCATCAGAATAAAGCAAGATTGGAAGTTGCTTGTATGAACTGTTGCATGGAGACTTTCTAAAATGTCCTTTCCTCTTTTCCAGATTCACCACAGATATGCCTGGCCAGCTGCTCTGCTGCTCCTGTGCCTCAGCACTTGCTGCCCTGTGATTGCAGATAACAAGCATAAGAAGTGATTGCAGATAACAAACATAAGAAGTGAGTTACAAAGTTGGGGTGAGTCTCATGTGGCTTTGATATTCTGGAGCATCTCAGCATGCAACTCAAAAACCAAATCCAGGGAAGACACTGTAAAAACCTGTAACTTACAGCCAGGGTACATGAACTATCTGTCAAGCCTGTGGAAGGATGCTTAGAGACCTGAATGCAAGTTCTTGAATTCTTATTCATTATTTCCATTTAGTTTTCTTTTCCTCTCAATTTTGTCAGCATTTTTCATCTGAAGTAACTTCTCTGGAAACTTGCATCCATCACGTACTCTCCCTGGCTTTATTTTTAGAACATACATGTTGAGCTGAGAAGTAGGTAGCTGCAGTGCTGCTTGTCAGTGATGAATATCTGCAACAAGGAAATTGGGTAGGATTGAAGTCAGGGAGAGTACAGACTCCTCTGTGGTGAGCTGAAGCTTCTCTAAAAGAGCTCAGCTCTTCTCCCAGTAGCAAAGTTAATGTGCTCTGTATATATGTACAGTTTGTTCCACTGTGACAAGTAAAATGCAGGCTAAATCCTGTTCTAAGTGACCTATGAAATGAGCAGAAAACTCACAAGTGAAGATGTTGGGAAAGTTTTTCTCTCTAGAACAGTGAAATCAAAAGGAATAACATTTGTAGGTGAAAGTGACTGATTCCAGTATGGATACATACCTTGATTTCATGGAATGGGCAAGTTAAGAACCATAGAATCCCAGGTCGGAAGGGGCCTCAAAGATCATCTGGGCCAACCTTTCTAGGCAAAGCATGACTTAGACTAGATGTCCCAGCACCCTGTGCAGCCCAATCTTAAAAGTGTCCAGTGCTGGGGAATCGCCACTTCCCTGGGGAGATTATTCCAGTGGCTGGTTGTTCTCATTGTGAAAAATGACAGTCCTCTTGTGTCCAGTTGTAACCTTTACAGGAGGAACTTGTGACCATCACCCCATGTCTTTTCCATGGCATTCCTTGTAGAAAGGGAGTCTCCATCTTTGTAGCCACCCTTTAAATACTGGAACATGGTGATAAGGTCTTCCCTGAGCTGCCTTTTTTCCAGGATGAACAAGCCCAGCTCACTTGGCCTTTCTTCACATGGCTTCCCAGGCCTTGGATCATCCTTTTGACCCAGAGCACATTGATCAAGTGTTCTGATTTGGTGAAAGCCATGACTCTGAGAGCTCTGTGAGTCTGCTTGGAACAAGGTGGTTTTGGGGTGTAAATAATGAGTACTACAGGAGCGAAACTGGCACTGGGTTTCTTTATGGACTTTTGAAAAAACATACAGTGACAAACTCGTTTTCTGCTCAAGTGTAAGCCAGTGCAGACAAAGCGATGCTGATTAAGTAGTTGGGGAATTAAATTTAGGACCATAATTGTGCATCGTTGGAAATACTGTTTCTATGTTTGGACAAAATGATGTGACAAACCAATTCTTTCTGAATGGTAGTTTCCACTTTGAATTTTGTATGTGGGAAGCTTAATGAGCTCTTGCCTTTTGGTAATTTCAGTTGAGGGGGGGACAGACAGACAAGGATTTCATGCTTTCAGTAGCTTCCAGCCTGGAGGAGAAACTACCTTCAGTTTTGCTTGATATGGTATCTCAAATTATTTTGCAGCTTCATTTTTTTTACTTTACTTTTTTTGGTGTCAGTATTAGGAGTGCCATGAACTGCTTGACAAGTCTTTGGTTTGAGCAGTCCAGATTGGTGCAGTACAGTGCTTTTAGTATCTTAGTATGAGTCCAACAGAGACTGTAGTCATTTGACTGTGCTTCATTCTATGTTCTTTTGTCTTAAAGATAAGCCCCTGAGGTCTGAAGCTTTGTGATGTTGTGGAGGGTTTCTTTTGTGACTGAAATCACCCTCTTGTTTTTCTTTATCCTTCCTGTAATGTGTCTGTGATCTTGGGAACTCTTCTTTAATGTATCAAGATATTTCCAGGGGGTTTGGGATTGTAGTGTTCCTTTTCACTTGGGGGAAGCTTTTACCAAGCTCAAGATGTCTGATTTATTCCCCCCCCCCCAAACTTACTCACAGATGAGGATGTGGATTCTTAGCTCAGACTGCCAGGCAGCATGCATGGTAAGTGATGTAATGAGGAGCTCTGCCTTCTACTGTGTTAAATAGAAAAGATAAGTTGATAATGTGTTACTGAAATCCCTTATCAATTCTGAGACACTGTAAAGTGGTGCTGTCTCAGCCGTGGATCTTGTGGCCAAGCTACCTGTGCTGTATCCCATTCTTGCCTGCTTTTATCCTTATGTATGCTTAAATGTAATATTTAAATGGTTTTCGCATTCCATGACTTCCACTTGCCCATATTCCTGTAAGCAGGCACCCTGACTCATGGCATTACTTCTTCAAGGAGCATTTGTGCCTTCATCTGTGTATTCCCTGCCATAGGATCCAAAAACAGAGGTGAGCTAGCTGGACTTCTTTCCAGCTCCAGTGAAACCAGTGCTTCCACTCGTGCATTCATGCTGAGGAAACAGGCATCGTCCATGCGAGTGAGGAGTTAGCTCTTGACTCTGCCGGGTTGTCCTGCAGTGTGCTTGGTGAACCATTTCCAACTTGAGGAATCTGGCTTTAGGGGCACTTTGTTTTCCCTGGACAGCATAAATGAACAAGATCAGCAGTGACCACTGGTTAAATGGTTAAATTCTTGGCTTGGAGTTACTAACACGGTACATCTCCGCTGAGCTCCCCAAGTGGTATGTCGAAGCAGCTTTCCGCTTAGCAGTCGATCAAGTCCATGGTAGTATTGGATAGACCTGGACTAATGGTGGCTTGGGCAGAGAACATTGTGCTTCTAAGCAACTGGAGTTGACTGTAGAGGGGATTTCTCTAGGTGGGGCTGAAGGAAGCTAGCAAGGACCAAAGTCTTGGATGCCAAACACAGGGAGACCTCAGTGAAAGCTGTAGGTGCCTCTGTTGTTCTTTGGCTGCGTGTTGAAAGGTCCTGATGATGTGTGGTAGCTAAATATCCTCCTGTACACAAAGCTTTCTAGTTGTATTAGTCATCCATCAGGCTTCTGGATTATTTAAGGGCAGAAGCTCTCCTTGAAGAGCAGCAGTATCTATTTGTAGAAAGGTACATAATGTGAAGTGCAATTCCAGTGTGTTAGAGCTACGCTGCTTGAGATGTTCTCAGGAATGCTGCCTCTCCTGCTGTAGAATCACAGAATAGTTAGGGTTGGAAAGGACCTTAAGATCATCCAGTTCCAACCCCCCTGCCATGGGCAGGGACACCTCACACTAAACCAGGTCAGCCAAGGCTTCGTCCAACCTGGCCTTGAACACTGCCAGGGATGGAGCATTCACAACCTCCCTGGGCAACCCATTCCAGTGCCTCACCACCCTAACAGGAAAGAATTTCCTCCTTATATCCAATCTAATGATACTTCATGATTGTAAAGCTGCACTGCCAAAGTTCTGTAACCTTAGAAGGCATCTAGTTGGTCTAGGGACATGAACGGTGATGGTGTTGGAGCCCCTTCTCAACTTCTTCCACACCTTCTGTTCAGCGCAGCTTACTTCAACTGTTAGGTGCTGTTCTCCAAACACTGATAAGCCTCAAGGAAAAGGGGGCAGTGATCAAAAAAGGTGCTCCAAGGAAAAAAATATTCTTCCACTAGGCATGGGGGAACCCCTAACTTAAATAGTTAATGACCAAAATCATCTTCTGTAGCTCTTCAACTTGTACTGACTTGATCCAAGTCTGAAAATGCCCAGACCTGAGCTGGTCCGTTTTTAAGCTGTAATACATCTATCTCTGCTTGTTTATGGAAAATCTTTGGGAAGTCACTGCCTAGAAAATTAATTGCAACACAGCATGATTTTGTTCTCATAAATGTAAAGAAAGCTCAAACCTTTGTGGCTTTTGTAGTGTGTATCGGCTCACTTCATTGTATACTAACCCCAAAACTAAACTAGAGGTTTCACGTTGTGTTTGTGATTCCCTGGCTGGCAGAATGCTGGGTCTTGCTTTTGCAGTCTGGCTTTTATGTAACTCATTGTTTTTGCTCAACTGTTGCAGAGAGTCTGTTTCCTTTAGCAACAGCCAGCAGATGTTTAGCTGAACAAGACTTAATTCTTTAAAATTGACCTGTAAGAAATGTGTGAAGGCGAAGATGGGGGTGGAACAATTGTATGTCAGCATGATTCCCATTTCCTTGCTGAAACCCAGTGCAAGATTTGCAGCTCCATTGGAGCCCTGATGGATCCTTGGGTGCTGCGGTATGCTCTGTGGCCTTCTCCAGGGGCTTTAGTATTTCTGTAAATGTGCTGTTGGGGGAGTGGGATTGAGCTGTCTAATGAGAATTAGCATTGCTTCGTCAGTTAGCACTGTATGGGCTAAGTCTATCTTTGTAGCGATAGGACAAGGGGTAATGGGTTTAAACTGAAACAGGTGAAGTTCAGGTTAGATCTAAGGCAGAAGCTCTTCCCTGTGAGGGTGCTGAGGCGCTGGCACAGGGTGCCCAGAGAAGCTGTGGCTGCCCCATCCCTGGCAGTGTTCAAGGGCAGGTTGGACACAGGGGCTTGGAGCAAGCTGCTCCAGTGGAAGGGGTCCCTGCCCGTGGCAGGGGGTTGGAGCTGGGTGAGCTTTAAGGTCCCTTCCAGCCCAACCCAGTCTGGATTCTGTGATCTGGTGGACGTGCTACCATGCTGATCCTGCTAGGGATTCCGATTATCATGGGTAGAGAAGTGTGCGCTGCAAATGGCTTCAAGGTTTCAGAGTTGAAAGATCTGCTGCTTTAAAGATGCTTTTGTTGGAAATAATACTTAGCTAGGGCTGGAAATGCTTTGGGCCCCTGTGTGGATGCTCCAGTCTTCCCAGTTAGGGATTTTGGTATATGTTAGCCTTGGGTTTGCTTTGTTTTTTCTGAAGTTCTAGATGCCTGCCAGAAAATTTTGGCATTGCTTAAGCAGGAGGTAACTTGAATGTGTCCTTTTCTACTAGGATGTGAGACTGGTACTTGAAGTAGACCTCAGACTCCTTTCCCTTGTGCTGCTTGCATCAGGTTTGTGT